ATTCTCCCCTGCTGAAGTCCTGTGCCCAGACTAAGCAGTCTTCAGAGCCTGGTACAGGAACAACCTACTGGCTCTCAACAGCCAGACCAAATTTGGCAGTGTCAACAATGAGCTAGTGCTAACAAGACCAGCTGTAACCAAGCTGGGGTACAGATGGGCATCTCTGCACTGTTCTCCGCAGCACCTCTGGTAGCAACACACCTTATTAGCTCATTCACAATGCTAGATCCAACCGGTCTCTGTGCATGCACTGGTGTCAGTCTTGATCTTACAGGCTTGCCTACTACCCAGAGCACCAGTGGCTGCACTGAAATACCTTAGTGACTTTGAGGGAACCAGCCCTGGTCCACTAGGTTCAGTGCTGAAATGTATTTAGCAGCAGTTCTGGACACTTGATGCTTTTGACGTGTCAATCAAACAAATTAACCTAAAATATAAATAGATTGTGAGTATTTATGCAGATGTGTATTTGTATATACATATATATATAAGATATACATCCCATATATATGAATTTAGGTAAGAATTATATGATAAAATTTAAAAACTTTTAAATTATAAAAAACTGAACATCTTTCAATATGAACCTCATACAAGACAAAAACATTTTATATATTTGTGTCAGCTTAAATTCAACAGCAGAAATAAAGCTGCAAAACAGAATTACAGACCATGATTAGCTGGTCCAGTATTTTGTTATCCAGCATTGTGATGAATATGATACCTATATTACAATCCTCCTTAATATATGTAGCTTTTACTTTTTTTTTTTTTGCAGTCACAGGAACACTATTCTGATAAGTGCTTGGCATGATTATGTCAAACCCAATGTATTTATACATATCACTGTATGTTATCACTGCATCACAAATGGAAGTACAGAAATATACTGGATGTTCACCTACAGGAATAGCATATCATCAGAAAATAGAACACCGCAAGTGCAAATTCTTTTGTTATTGTTGTTATGGGTGGAAAAAAAAACACTGAAGCAATTCCACAAGATCTGACATCCTTGTTTGATTACTGTCATGTGTACATCCCTGCAGAACAGTCACACATCTTATCTGAACTCCAGTCGGTGCTCCTTTTCAGTAGGTGTTGTATAGCTGTTCTTTCTGTGTGAGATGACGTTGCCCTCTGTTTCCTCAGTCCAGAACAGTCATTAAGAAAATAAACTTCGTTCCCTGGAAGACAGTAGGGACTACAGTTTATAATGAATCCTCTAAACCAAGCAGCATTACCCCTGGAGAGGTGAATAGTTGTGTAACTTGGACCACCTTGTTGCTTTGCTTTGTTTTCTTTGCGTTTTGAAAGTAATTTACTGCAACACATTGAGAAACACGAGATAAACACAGTTAACTCAGCCATTCTCCCACGGTATTCTGTTGCTTCTTGCTGGGTCTCTCTTTCATGTACTCTATTTACTTCTTGGGTTCAAAGTTTTCCTCTCTTTGCTTTATTTTTTTTTAAATCATGCATCACTTGGTTCACTCATCCTTGCACCTCCAACCTTTGTTGTTTTCAGTCTTTAATGACGATCTTTCAGTTAAGAGCTCACCAAAGTGTAGATCATGCTGAATGTAAAAGAAAGACACAATATGAAAGTATCCTTTTGAAGCATACAGAGCACTTTGATTTTTATAAGCCTTTACTGTCTGTTCCTCAGGTCTGACTGTAATGGCCTGTGCTTTCCGTTGCATTCTTTCTATCTCTCTAACGCATCTTAATTACGGTGTATTCAAGATGGGTATCAAAAAGCACTCCAGAAATAAAAAATTCATTATCAACATCCTACTGCACCAGAAGCTGTGTTTGAGCTTAGTAAAGTGCAGTCTGATGTCTGAATTTGAACAGTGAAGAAACAAAACCATTTCGCTTTAGCATGTTTGATCTTGAAAACTTCAACCAGCAACTCTTGCAGGGCAGGCAAGGTTCCCCATGAAACTGCATTATTTTATTTCCTTTGGAAAAAACTTCATGTGGTAGAAAAAACATAAAATGCAGACACTAGCTGGAGTGAATCCATGCATATTAATTGCAACTCTGAAAAGCGAAGAAATCATCGTATATTGCCACCGCTTAACTTTACTGCAATTCTAATTCTGACAATACCCAGGAAAGCACAGCAAAATTGAATGTAATGAATACTATTTTATTTAGCACCAGACAGTGGATTTTGGATTATGGTCACATTTTAGAATGAAGGAAATACTGCTCAGAGGAAGCTGCCCAACAGCAGGGTCCCAGCAGAAATACCAGACCACACGACATAGCTGACTTTGACAGGGTCTTTTAGCTAACACAAAAATGTGAGGTTAAAAATGCATCTCTCTCCAGCCATGCCTTCCCAACTCTCCTTGCACTACCAAGTGAACTTGTCTAGCATAACTGCCACACCTTCCACTCTCAGCCCCGTGAATAGGACTGGCGGGCAAAGGCCCTCAGCCCAAATCCACAAAGCTACTGGATGCCAAACTCCTGCTCAGATTCTTACACCCCATGCATCTGAGTGTGAGTTAGGCACCTACCAGCTTCTGTGAGTCTAGGCCTTCTACTTTATTTCTCTCTCTCTCATGTATGCAGACACAGGCACATACACATGCACATGTGGACAGAAAACTTTGTTCTCCATAGTATTTAAAAGTAACATTGAGAAACAACAACCTGCAGCAATGACTCCTCACAATATGGGGAACAACAGAACAAGTAACGGACCAGCAATCAAAGGAGAAAGAACATTTTTCTTCCTCCAGCAGCATACAAACCTGTCTTACAGAGGGATTACCTCATGCAAAGATGCACTCTATGCAAATACAGTATGGAAGAAAGAGTAGAAGAAAGGCATCATAAAACACCATCTCCATTTAAAGTGTCAATCTTTGCTGCCAAGTAGTCTTACGGTGTGATTACACAGGTGACTAAAAGCACAGGGATTCTGCCAAGGCCTGACATTAAATATGACCCTCATATTCTCGCACTGGGCATTTGTGACTGTGCTCTCAGGACAACTGACAGCTGAAAGGGGCAGGGGGGACAACACACAGCTCACGCACACATCTCAATAATGCACTTAAATCAGGGGTTTGGACCATTCCCAGGTTTACCCTGTCATATAAAGGGAGCCTATAGCAATGACTACAGGCACAGTGCATTCCATGTTCCTACCCACCGCCTACCTACCCATTTACTTACCATCTTAAGCATCGCTACATCAGCAGATGTAGTATTTTTCTTATGATTCAAGAGAATCATAAGAACATCCTCATTTTTATTTGATGTAATGCCATTACCATAACATTTGCTATTTTACCCGTTTTAAGAGACTATGCAGAGCAGCAAAAATTTTTTTCCCTGGGTTGGCCCTGGGGCCTGGCTCAGGCCTCAGATAAATGCTTAATATTCTGTACTGAGTTGCCAGCAGATATAAGCATACGCTGCTGTAAGTGGGCATGCTTCCCTAAATCAAGATCAGAAGCAAGTTTTAGAAGACTAAGAGAACGGGCCAATTGGTTCCAGTCATTCCTAAACACAATTTCCCAGGTCAAATGAAAAGCAGCTACTATTTCCTTAGTGAAATGACCAGACTTACCAGTACAGATAGTAGAAGAAGGAAAGGAGATAGAAAGCTAGCTTACACCAGGCCTCTTTTTGACAGTAACTCAAGGTATCTGCATTCATGACTGCAGGTGGATCATATGCTAGCTCTGAACTATCTGCTGGGCAACGAAAATACCTGAAAGAGCAGGAGAAGACATCTGGAATGACTCTGTAATATTCTGTATTAAATATGTGCAGATATACATCCTCCTGATCACCAGCTCAGAAAATAACCATCTTCCATGATATAGGAGGAATTTTCCTCTCTTTTACAAGCCTCTATTTCCAGATGTTGTGAAAATCAGGAAGCTAGTCTAAACAGATCGTTCTCATAGAACTAAGCAATTCATGAATGTAGACTTTCTGTGTTCTATTATTTCTTCAGATTGAAACATTCCTCCTTCCTATATAGTTATTTCTGGCTTACTCACTAATAACTTACGTATTGTGAGTGACAATATGTGGCAGCTTGTGATCACAGCATGGAGGAAGGATTATTGGGCTTTAACTGCATCTACACAACTGATTTCAGACATGATGAAAGGTCACAGTCTCAGCCAACTGATAGCTAAGTTCCTCCAACTCTGAAAAGGAAAAAAGTCAATACAGAGTAATATAAGAGCCAGTTGACTAATGTTTTCTACATGTAGCACTGATCAAAAATTTATAATCCAAATAATTTTAATTGGAAAATGTTTTTCTTCTTACACAGGAGAAAATTCCAATTATTCTCAGCAATAACTGGATGTTTGAGAAAATCCTGATGAAAGAACTTTTTTTGGCAAAGGAGCTTTTGTCTCAGTTACTTTGCAGTAAAAGGCAAAAGCAAACCAAAAAAAGAAGTCCTCCACAAAGTTAACGAGCTGCTGCAAGATCAGCACGAATCAGAGGAAATATTGTTATTTCTGTTGCTTTGAAATAGTAATGTAAACACTGAAGATTGCTGGGATTCCTTATAGATAGATAAACAGAGAGAGAGATAAACCTCCCAAACAAGTGACTAGCAGTAAACTTTGAAAGTAAATGTTCTCATAATAACTTTTCCTTCCTTCTTTCCAATATTAGTCACACCCACTTACAATCTCTAATGACATTACAAATTCTTTTACAGACACCACAGGTGAAACCTTGCTAATTATCTTCAACAGGATGAAGATATTACACAGTATCTTCCCATGGTTTTGTGCAGAACTTTACAAGATGAACCCAGACCTGTCTGCAGTTAAACCAGCAGAAATTATAGAGTAATTATAGCAAAGTATATGGAGAATCATGGGGAAAAAAGACAATCAAAAGTTCTCTCCAAATGTTGATATAATTATTTAGAGTCTGATCATTTTAACCTTGGACATAAAATACAAATGTTTTAATTTGTTTTTAAAAACTTAAAACTAGTATTATTGTCACACTTTGATTGTTAGCTCTTCTAAAACAGCACCATAAAACTGTATTATTTCTATTGCACCCAATCAATAAGGAGAAAAGCACTCGCAGCTTCACTTCATTTAGCTTTCTGAGAACTATACTGGCTCTCTAACTTCTGAATAATACACTTTATCGTATGACTTTGCATTACTAACAAGCTTTTGCAGAAAATAGCGTAAAAAAAGCCACTACTTTTTAGTTCCTGTTGACATAATGGTTTTGTCTTCTTTACAGAATTACTCTTCAAGCTACTTCACAACAGGAGATACCTGCTACCATATGTATCTTTGTAACACAAAGAGACACTGACATACAAAAATCATCTGTGCTTTTACAAACATTGTGGAAATGCAAAACCAGTGAAGACTCCAGACTGACAACCACAAAAACTGATGTCTCTTGGTTATCTTCAGAGGTAGCTGAAGGCTGATCCTCCACCAGAATGCAGAGGAAGATGCAGCAGCAGCAGCTGCACTGCCTGTTCAGAAAACATTAAAGTTGCTCAACAGCAGGTCTTACGTGATCAACTCTGAAAGCCCCTCAGTGAACATAAACACGTAGCAGAGATACAGAGCAAAAACACTGCCCCCTTTTTCACACAGCCAGGGTGAAGACAACAGTTCTTTGTCTACTGCAATCCTTACTCCAAGAGTCTCTAAGAGAGATTTCTTTTGCAGAATATAAATTCTCTACTGTACAGAAAGAAACAACTTATTTTATACTGAAAAAAAAAAAAAACCAAAAAGCTACCAACGAAGATGAGAAGCAAAATTCTGTCAACATGCCCAGTCTCTATTTCACAACTCCAATGGAAAGGTTTTCTTGCTGAATGAATAGGTCCAAGACATTTCAGATATGAACTGCCTTACAACTGCCTATCTGTGAAGGTTTCCAGAGCGTGTAGAAGAGACCTTCCTGACACAGCTGGTGAGGGAGTCAAACAGGGAAGGGGCCTCGCTGGACCTCCTGTTTGTGAGCAGAGAAGGACTTGTGGGTGATGTGATGGTTGGAGGCCATCTTGGGCATAGCGATCAGAAAACGAGAGAGTTCTCGAATCTTGGAAAAGTAAGGAGGGGGGTCAGCAGAACTGCCACCTTGGACTTCTGGAGGGCAGACTTTGGCCTATTGAGGGGCCTAGTTGACAGAGTCCCTTGGGAGGCAGTTCTGAAGGGCAAAGGGGTCCAGGAAGGCTGGGCATTCTTCAAGGAGGAAATCTTATGCGCACAGGAGCAGGCCATCCCCAGGTGACAAAAGATGAGCCAGAAGGGAAGAAGGTTGGCCTGGCTGAACAGAGAGCTTTGGCTGGAACTCAGGGAAAAAAGGAGAGTTTATGACCTTTGGAAGAAGGGGCAGGCAACTCAGGAGGACTACAAGGATGTCATGAGGTTACAGGGAGAGAATCCAAGGAGGAAATCTTATGCGCACAGGAGCAGGCCATCCCCAGGTGACAAAAGATGAGCCAGAAGGGAAGAAGGTTGGCCTGGCTGAACAGAGAGCTTTGGCTGGAACTCAGGGAAAAAAGGAGAGTTTATGACCTTTGGAAGAAGGGGCAGGCAACTCAGGAGGACTACAAGGATGTCATGAGGTTACAGGGAGAGAATCAGAAGGGCCAAAGTCCAGCTAGAACTTAATCTGGCTACTATCATAAAAGACAATAAAAAATGTTTCTATAAATACATTAGTAACAAAAGGAGGGCTAAGGAGAATCTCCATCCTTTATTGGAT